TCTTTCTTCTTTTAAACATTTTTTTTTGTGAATTCAGGAAGAATATTGAATCCACATTAACATTGAAAAGGGTCAGCACAACACATAAGAAGTCCTGGGACAAGCACCAATTGAATACTAGATCTAGAAGACAATACTACGCTATCTATGACTTAGAAGTCTCAAATTTAACAAGTACTGCAAACAGTATCTATCGTACATAGTAATGGCCTTACAAAGAGTCAAATTAGAATCATATTTTTGCAATTAAAAAATCCACAGCCTTCTCTAACCACACAACAGATTACATGAGAAAGCTACAACAAATGGAACAAGAGAGAACAACACTGCTTTTACATTCATCGGCTTTTAAAAACTAACATGTTAAATTAATTTTCTTTTTATCAACAAAAAATGTGGCAACAATAACACAAGACATGGTTGATGTGTTCCTTAAAAACGATAACAGCTTGAAAATAAGTCCTCCTCTTCCGTCAATGTACATACATTACATAAAATATTGCCGGGCTGCAACCTCAAGGTTTGGTCCATGGCAAATTAAAGGCAACTCTTATTTGCCATTCTGTTAATGATTGCATCTATCCAAGCACAAGTATGAAATGTACATATATAACACAGTACAGAAAATATAAAACCATCAGCTCCATATCAATTCACAATCCAATAAGATCAAGAATAATATAATCAAGCTGGGGACCTCCATCAGTTAATAATTATATAATTAAGCTTACAAGATTCATGACAAATCCTCAGGTTTATCCCATTTAACTGCTAAGTAAAAATTTAATCTTGATGTGTACCATGAACTTTGAATCATTGGTTTTTGATAAAAGTTTCAACTTTCCTAACTTACACCAATAGAAAAAAAAAGTACCTTCATTTCAAAATATTGTCTTGTGACAGATACAACTGTATCATACATCCTTTTAATTAATACAATATTAAATTTTTTTTTTCCAACTTGGTTTACAATTGATGGAGGACCCATCATTAAATAATGCAGTAGAAGGGAAACCTGATAAGAGAAACCAAAACAATTGATAACATGGAGCATCAATAGATTTTGTCTGAAGGCAATTTCAGATATTCTACAAGATCCTCCAGTTTATGTTTCAGATATTACTCAGTAACTCCTGACGCATCAAGCAAAGGAAGCTCACAGTTAATTAAGGGAACAGCCAACTCAGTCATCACATTACCGAGTTCAGTCTAAGAAGCACAGGGGAGGATGATGGGTTAGGGTCTGCCCCGAGGAAAGAAAGAGAGAACACCTGGTTTGGAAGCGCAGGGCAACCAAAACTGGAACACAGTGAAGGCTCAACTTATACTTGAATGAACCCCATAGAGTTCCATGGAAATTTGGGAATAATACTACCACTTAATAAAAAGAAGAGCTCAAGTTTACAAGATAATTATAATTAAAACTCATATCTGTGTGAATTTACAGTCATATGAATGCACCTCAATTTGGAGCACTTAAATTACAGCACAGATAAACTCTTTCCTAAGTGCGGCCTCAAACAGCCTGGTTAAAAATTTAATTTTTGTTTTTAGTTGAGTTTCCAGTTTTGGGATGCTCTAGTTAAGCACCAAGACAATTGACAGAGTACTAGCTTGAGACTGCAATGTCAAAACACTTCTTTTTTGCTTGGAAATTCCACACCATAGCCTCCAGCAAACAATTACACCTCAAGCAAAGATTGAATGCTCCCTTTCTGACTTCATTCAATTTGGGAGTTGATATGCTGTTTATGAAGGGTGCTGAAGCAACGGAAATTTGGAGCAGAGTTAATTATGAAGTCACTTTTTAGGAACCCCGTTGCATTTTCAGTAATTTGTTTGCTCCTAATGCAACAGTTCAGCATATTCCTAACTTCACCGGATTGCTGTCAGGAGAGAGAAGATTGACGAAGGAGTATTTAATGGCCACTGACAACTGTAAGGTGCCAAATATTTGATGTTTTGACTCGCAATGCAATGAATATTACTCACTTTTCCGCTGCTATAGCACTAAAATTTATTTCCCTCAATAACCAGGCATCTCTATCTTGGTCAAGTAACAACAGATAAGAAGTAATGGTTTTTGCAAAGAACAACTCTCAGGCCTCCTTCAAAAAAAAATCTCTTTAGAGTAAATTGGGTTGAACATTTATTTTTACAAATGGACAGCTCACAGGACATCCCTACTTTACTTGGGGGTAATCTTGTATAAAGAGTTCGGCAGCACTCATTAAACTTATTGTCTGGCCAAGGCAAAGTAGATACACTGCACATTCAATCCAAAGTTTCTTAGATTTACATTGCGCTTCTCAGTGTTCAAATGGCATTACCCTTTCACATGAACATGCTTTTTGTTTTGAACTGGATGTAGGAAATATGAAAAGCTGATTTAAATGCAACCACAGTCTCAGGTGCATTGGAAGGCAGTAGATAATTGGCTCGCCTGCTGATTGTCACAGTTAGCAGGACACAAGAGTCAGAATTGCTGTTTCAGATCAAAGCCTATCACCAAATGAGGTCATGGAGACAAAAATGCATCAAAGATTTTCATAATTTCTTAATACAAAATCTCTGCAGCATGAGAGCAGAGCCCCCAACCCATCAATTCTTGTGCTTTCTAATGTTTTGTGGCTTTCCATGAGGTATCTCCTTTTGCCTTTGCCTGAGGCTGTATAGTAGACTTTCTTGATGTAGGCAACATGCAAATCTGTGGCATGGCAAAAAAAAGGGAGAGAGAGAGAGGGAGAGAGAAGAGAGAGTAGAGAAGAGAGAGGATAAGATTATGCATTGCTTGCATTACATAAAGGTGCAAATGCCTTTTTCCACCTAAACATTTATGTAAAAACTCAGGAATACACATCCCGCATCAATCTTAGAAAATTTAACAAGGTTGTACCTGCTTCACATAAGATACGCAAAAATTGCCATTTTTTACATTGGAATAATTAGAAGACTGAACCATTTCAAACCATCAACAGTTGCCTGAAAGAATCTCAAAATTCAGATTGATACCTGACATGCCAATTGCAAATGGGGACAGACCATGTATTATAATCCTGAATAATATAATAGCTAAAAAAGTTGCAGAAGGATACATAAAAACAACACAGTAATAATGTTGGCATTGGTAAACTGCTTGGCAATTGGGAACTACTCCCGGTGCACATTCCAAACCAGCAGGGACAACCAACCGAAGTCTAATGTTAGCCATATCATTGAAAGCAGGTTAAAATAAGTGGTGATGAACTTGTTTGAGAAGTAAATTATTGCACAGAGTCTGATGTTTCCTATTCCTTATTGAAGGGTGGAAGAATCATTAACGCTCCATTTGGACAAAAAAATAGACAGCTGAAATTTGATGAAATTAAAATGTTCTGAAAATAGCTAATTGTCTGTAAGTTCTCAATTTTAAAGAAAATGAGGATCCTACCTAATATTGTTTAAAGGCATTCTTTAAAGACTTACTGTTTCATTAATTGTTTTGGTAAATTTTTTGCAGCTTCAACATTTCATTACATTGTGAACCTCTCTTCATAAGTTATTTAATTACGCGTTTTCTTTTTGTCAAAGACAAAAATATTCAGATTTTGTATTGTTATTCGTAAGTTAGTATCTATTTCCACCCCCCCCAATTATAGTTACTGGAATACAAGTTTATCTGTTTCTTCATTAAATGTTATTCATATTCATATTAATGTAAAGAATAGTTTCTGAGTTTAGGTATAATACTTTCTTCCATAAAAATGCATGAACATGTTGTAAACATAAAATTAAATTAAAAATAGCATGTTCATGATTAAGGTTCTGGTATTAGAGGACAACTCCAAAATATTTTAATATTTTTTGGGAGGGAAAATTAAACCCGCAGAATTTAAACCAATTTATGAACTAGAATATGTGTAATAATATTTCTTGGAAAAAGGAAGAAACGAATATTTTTCCTTCTGTCAAGAGTACAAGTTTTGTTGCAAATATCCCAACACTTATTTAATGAACTTTGTGGCCTTTTGCAACTGATGACATATATTCTACACAGAACACAATAGAACAAATTTTTAAAAAAAAGGATATTCAGTTATTTTCTGGTCATTAGGAACAAATTAGTTTCTTTGGGAGATTAATAATAATCAATTTGATGGATAAAAAGTTTTCTCAACAAAAACCAACAACAGAAAATGGAATTCCGGCAAACAATCAATCTGTAACTTGCTCTGTTACAATTAATTTCATTCACACAATTACATTTAACCATACTGCATTCAAGTCCAACCCTTAGTAACTTCTCCTTAAAACAGTGTAATTTCCAGCTCCAAAGGTTTATTTGCATCTCCTTTACCTTTTTGTGATAAGAGAAGGAAAGAAAATTAAGAAGATAATAAAAAGGGATATCAACTACGTAGCCTGAGCTTAAGCAGCTACAAATATAATTCTAACGGGTTGTTTTCTAAAAATTGTACTCTTATAACTATCAATTATCAAATAATTGCCACCTCCATAAAAAGGTAAGACTCTAACACACTTCCGCTTATTTCCACATATTATTTTGAAGCAAAAGCTTATAGAACTTTTTCCTGCAATAAGTTCTTAAAATTGCACATGTAACCAATTTAAAAAAAGACATTAACAAAAGTAATAACAGCAGACAGAGCATTCAACACATATGTAAATCACATTAATTTCTCTTAACAGACATGCCTCTCAGCTACTAAGAAAAAAAAAAAACCACTAAAATGAAAAATTAACTACATTTCTCTATGTTTTGTAATAGTCAATAAATTACACAAACAATCCACTGGAAAAATCAATAACAAGTTAGTCGCTTGTTTCTTTTGCAAACATAGATCTTTTGTGCACAGCCCTGCTGTGCTCTGTGAATAATTTCCTATGTACACAACATTTTTCCAACTGCACACAGTCCTCTCTTCAGGTTGTTTCATTCCAGTCACTATAACTTACGCTAGTCTGTCATTCATTTACCATTAACATGATTTATTAATTATTATTTATAACATTGATAGGGAGAGGAGTTAAGCACAGGGTCCTATTCTAAGTAGTGGCTGACAAAAAGTCACTTCAGCTGCAGTGTAACCCCTCAAAGACACCAACAGCCAAAAACCACATTCCTTTGCCCACCTGTTTATAAGAAACTCAACTTTACATTCCAGAGACAAGTAGCAAGAAATATACATTTCTTCTATAAGCTTTTATGAAGAAACTTTAATACACCTGCAGATTTCAAAAACCATGAAAAACTGGTGTCATACCTCCTAAAAAATTAAATAATCAATTAACAACACCCCCCCCCCCCTTATCACATGATAATTAGAAGAAACAGGAGAGGAAAAAAAAAAAAAAAAAAAAGAAAAGGGAAGAGATGAAAAAACAAAAAATCACGCCACAGCCAATATGAAGTCATAATGTTAAAAAATGGGATAATTCCCCCCTTTAGACAAACTTCATTACAACATCCATACCTCCACACACTTTTATGCACAAACACATAATATTACACAAATTCTGTACAGGAACATATATACAAACCAGACATTATCTGGATAATCTCTTTCTTTTTTGTTTTCACCGTACTATTGTTTTGTTTTTTGTTAGTTTGTTTCTTTTTTATTTACAAAAGGCAACAACCACTATGTCACTTACTCTGAAGTGAATATACCAAAAAATATCAACAGCTCTTAACCAGGTTCAATTAGAAATAATATTTCTCTAAAAACGAGGCTAATCTTAAAGGACATGAGAACTCTTTCAAGAATATCACCTACTGACAAAGGGCAGACTGCAATGCTGTCACTCAGTTTGACATCCACACAACTGAAATACTTTTTTTGTTTTTGTTGGCTTTTTGAAATACTCTAGAGTCTTGACCAACATGCATTATGTTTTAGAACTGAAATGCAGGAAGCCTGGAGTATAGTTTTGTTGATAACCATATCCATAAATGGCCCTTGGGGTGGGCACAGGTAAACTGATGATCTGTGTGAATAACAACACTACTTCAGAAACCCCTTTACAAAACATACATTTATAAAGCTTAACTATGAAAATAAAGGCAGTACAGACAAAAACAGTATAAATATATTAATTCAATATATATACCAAAATTTAAAAAAAATAGTTTCTATATCCTTATTTTCTGTGAATCTGCTTCAATTAGTATATTTCATACGACAGCATATTTGTTTGGTTATAAGATTCTCACTTTTTATCCATCACACATGGACAAGTATACTCCAAGGCTCCCAGTTTCCTTTTCCGGACGGTTTTACAAGGCATTCAGACAACCAGCTGGACTCGTGCATCTCCCTTCCACCCATCCCTGATGATGCAAGGCTCCGCACTCACACAAGCAGATTGTGCAGACGGTTTCAAACAAAGAGAATATATGGGTTCAAAATATGTTCATCTTCCAAAAGATCTAGTTCATGTGCAAAGAACCGAACAATCCCACAGACACACTGACATTGAGTCTTAATACAACCAAGGAAACAAAAGGGAAACTCATTATCTAACCTATAATACAAGACTAGCGTGCAACTCCCTCAGAAGGTCCTCCGCATACTCGGGACCGTTGCTTACTCCTCCCCTCGCAGCGGGCAAAACAACTTTAACAACAACAGCGCGGGTGGCGCTGGTGGCGCAGGCGGCGCGGCCCGGTGTGGGGTCCGCCTACGCCACCTGCTGGGCGTCGGGCGCTGGGGCAGGTGGGGGCGCGGGCGCAGGTGCGGGCGCGAGCGTGAGATCAGAGAGCAGGGCGTCGCGGGCGCCGGCGCCGGCGTCGCCCTGTGCGGCGGAACCAGGGCCGGAGGCGGAGGCGGGCGCGGGAGGCGTCGCCGCGTCGCCGTCTTCGTTCGCGTCCGCCCCCGTCTCCTCCTCTGCTCCCGCCGCTGTCGCCGCCGCCTCGTCCGCCCCCGTCGCGTCGTCGTTGGTCGCCGCCCCCGCTCCCGCTGCCGGACGGTGGCAGTCGGCGTGCACGCGAAGAGCCACCTCCAGGTCGTGCAGGATGTCCGTCTCCTTGGGCTCGATTAGCTGGAAGCGGTGGTTGAAGAGCGTGAGATGCGCGAAGACGCAGTTGAGATGAGCGTGCAGGTTGAGCAGCACCACCTCCCGGAAGTGGCAGTGGTAGAGGTGCGCCAGCACGTGGAACAGCAGCCTCAGGATTTTCCGCACGATCGATTCAAACGAGCTGGGAAACTCGTTCGCTGCGGACATATGCACACACATCACGTTACCTATGCGCCTTTCTATGGGTTAAGAATCAGATATTACGAAATTATCCGGCTGCTCGTATGTAATTCTGGTCTTTCCAATAATTACTTGTTACAATTTTTCTCAGAATATCTTATTGCTGTCCACTTGCCAGTGAAATGGTTTCACCAAACTTAATTGTGGAAAAGACAGCATGGTACATTACGAATCTTAAGGAAGCGTGTACTCGTCCCTCGTCCCCCGTCTCTCCCCACCCACCCCTACCATAATGAACAAGGGAAAAATCAAACAATCAGCAAAATTTTGGCTGGTGATCTCAATCATGATTTCTTGATTTTACCCCTTTTTGAGCATATGCAAATAACGTATTGCAATTGTGGTGAAACTGAAATTTCTAGTTTTTATACTATTCTACTTACTACTACTAATAACAATAATAATAATAATAATAATAAAAAAATTTGGGTGTTTTAATTGATTTTAAAATTTCTTCCAAATTTCTTGATATTGTTAAGACACAGAAGAACCTCCTACACACAGGGTAGTGACAGAGAAGGTGGAGAAGGCAAATTGAAAATCAACATTTATTTATAATAATGAATAATCAAAATATTATTTATTGGTTGAAATTAGTTAATTCATGAAAGGAAGGTTTGGCCCCGATGTGATGATATAGATGGAGTACCATAAATTATTGTATTCAATACTATGTTTTTCAAAACATTAAATATTCAAGAATCATTGTATCTCTAACCAAAGTCACCATTTCATTGTTGGCAGTTTTGTTGTGGAAAGAACATCAAGTGAAAGGTGTCAATGAAGATATTATATTGGCATGTCTTTCTAAAAAGAAATAAACCATCCTCCTTGTAGAACTACAGTCCAATGATAAAAGAACATTTTCTGCTTACAAAAATTTCAATATCTAAAGGCAAATACAAACCTTATTTTTTATTAAAATTATTTTAATTTTTATTCTTTTAGTAGTTTATTGTAATGTCAATATGTCTTATTTTTTCATTTGCAATTTATTGTACTAATATTTTAGATGTGGTTAATTAAAAAATGTTAAATGTAAATTTTTTAATTCACACGTGAATAACAGAATTGATAATGTTGTTTGGAATGAGATCAGTAATGATTTACTCAGCTGTAACAATAAAAATATAATTGTATTATAATTTATAATTTACTATATCACAATGAAGTATGTAATCATTTTATTTTTGTTTTTCCATTATGAAATGGAATTCAGCTAACCAGATTCCAAGATATTTGAAACCCCTAGAAAAATGAAGACTTCTCTGTTGTTTGAAATTCAATCATTAAAATCAGTTGCAATGTTATACATGTGTAATGACATATTAGGCTTCAGTTTGGTCTCCAAATGCAAATTACATGTTAAAGAAAGTGTGTTTGGGACACATTCTTTTCATAATCCATCATATAAGACACATCTCACAAACCAGTGATACAATCATGATACTTTTCTTTATCTAAACATAGTCTTTAGAAGCTCATGTTTTTATTTTTATATATTAACTAAGTTAATTAACTGGTAAAATTTATAATATAGCTTTGAATATCTTTGCAGTATATCCATACATCAGGAGAAATGTTAGTTAAGAAGTTTAATTGTAGAATGGATTACATATTTCTCCATATGCTTACTTTATTAGTTATTTATCAACAAACAAAATGAAAAGCCTGGCATGTTGGTAGGGATGCAGGTGATGCCTTTCTGATTGGCTGCTACTGTACATCCTTGGGAATGTGATCCCTTGTTTCTTACATCATGGTTTAATCTGCAAGTCATTGCAGCATAAGATTGTGCACACTGGTTGATTACTTCTGATCACAATGTATGTTGTAGAATAAGCAATTTCCCTAATGCTTTGAACACTTTAAAATCATATCAGTCCAGAGACTGTTGTAATATTGAGATATAACTTAAATTTCAGGTACACAAGTGCAATAGCAGCAGGGTGATCTTTCTTTGGGAGCTTTTACCACAGACATAGCGTTTTCCACCTCTCTTCCTAAACTTTGGAAAATAGTAATTATATTTCCTCTCAAGTATATTCATGAACAAAAGTTGCACAATACTTATATGATATTATGTAAACCACTTACCATACTTGGTGGGGAAAATTGATTCATCACTAATAGTTTTCTGTGTAAAAGTCATTACATAGTCTATGTATTGTGGGGCTGCTACACGCGTCTTCTTTCCTTTGTCATCAAACCAAAGGTATGTTCTGCAACACAGACATAGGCAATTGGGAAAGTGATTTTTTGTAATATTAATGAAATACACAAATAAATAAAATCCTTGAAAATTTGTTTCTAAATCTGCACTGAACATGAAAATGTGACAAATGCTCCATCATGCCAAGTTTTTTCACCAACTGATATTATGGTTTAGTTGTCACTGGCTTAGCGTAGTATGCAAAATCACTTAAAAACAGACTATAGAACTTTCACAGTTTTTACTCCCATTGATAGCAAGTAAATGTTTGTGACATGAGAATGTGTTACAGTGACTTAAAAGATACACAAATCAAAATTGTGTTTTCAAAAGTGAGAACCTCCACTTCACTAACTTTATACTATTGTTGGCAGCAAATTCTGGACAGTGCTCAGTGGGTGTATTTGCTACTAATTAATTCGCAATAAAGAAGATTCAAAAACATCTTGTTTTGTTAAAAACAGTTTAAATGTCAACAGACTACAGCATCTTTAAATAAATTTTAAAATAAATATGTAAAGACTTGTGGAATATCAGAGAAATATTGTTCCCACACCAGTGAAATTCTAAGTTATCAATTTGAAACTTTTTGACTCTAAAATGTTTTGGCTAAAGTGCAACCTTTCTTTTACAATTTTGCTACAAGCTAGAATTATTACACTGGGAGATCAATGCATACTTGAATCATCACATTTAATTTAATGAAGAAGGGCAAAGGAGAGGAAACTCAACAAATCACTTTATAATTTTCAAATAATTTAATAATTTTTGAACGTAATTATTTTAACCTTTTTTCACACACTCAAGATGCTAATTTTATTTTTTGAGTGAAGATTGTTTTGGAGAAGTAGCCAAGAATATTTTCCTTTCATCAATAACTCCTCTTCATTTTAAACATGACACACTATTTATATAATATATATAAAAACAATTAAAACAAATTTCACTCACCTGAGACCAGGACCAGTCATATCTGGGCAGCCTGACATAGTGCAAAATTCTGAGATAGTACCATATACTAAGTTGATATGGTCAAAGAACGCAATGGCTGAAAGTAAAATATAACAAATATTAAATTTAATTTGCAACAAATAATCACTAAACTGCTTATCAATTAGTTGAAACTCATTTTTTAATAATACAATTAAAGTTTGTTATGGATGATATAATTCATAAAAATTCTAACACACCACCATTGTACTACCAAATTCTGACATCACTTCCCCTTTTTTTGCAATACAAAAATGTCACAAAATATATTTCTTTTATTATTCTCAAGAAAGATGATATGAAATACAATTTCTAATTGACAATGAAAGTTAACATTTAATTTCAATAAAATCTTTCTATTTTTGCTTTTTGTGATAGTACTGACAATTTTCAAGTGAAGAGATCAAGTTACACCATTCTCTTCTTGTGCTGGAGCAGTATGGTCATTTTCTGTTTTCCTTCTTTACAGCACAGGCAATTTTTCAATTGTAAAAGTTCTTTTTTTTTTTTAATTTTATTTTTTACCTGTTTTACCCTTGCAATACTATAACTAGATATTTGTCTCTCAATGCTATCTATTCTTCAGTATTGGATCTTTACATTATTTCATGCATAGTGGTGTATTTGTAATTTTCACTTAATTCCGAGTCAAATCATGTCCATTATTAAAAAGACATGAATATTTCTTGAAAACTGCTGGGATTTATACTTTCTTGACTAACGTAAGAAGAGAAAGTATTGTAATCGTGCGCCGGAAAACAGCGAATTTTCGCCACAATAACTCTTATTGCCGGGCCCTGGTAACGAAAAAGTGGTTAAATCCAGTTGCTAAATTTAGAAATAATCCTCTAACACATGGTGTAGCCAGAATCCATGTTTTGTGCCAGTATATAGCAATCCGCAAAGCTAATAGAAATTCCGCAACAATGCTGCATTGATATTTGACAGGCATTTGTTTTGTTTATATAATCTTATCTCACTGCAGAGAAACCATGGAAGCTCTCTTTGTAGAAAAGCAATAGTGTTCATCGTATCTGAAGAGTGGATGTTAGAAGTCGGTAATGGAATTAAATGCTATTGGATGTGTTTTCTTATGACGAAAGGCCACTCGCCAATGAGCAGCCAGAATTTTCATAATTATATTGATGTCAATTGCATACATTGTAGTTACTGCATTCTGGTAACTCTGAATATCCCCTTATAATAATTAAATTTACAATAGGTTATTGCCTCACGTAGGATATGCCATTGTGATAACTGAAAAATTATGTTTATAAAAACTTACGATTTTTTACTGCCCCGTGTGAGGCCTGCCATTGTAGTAACTCGTAATTTATCCCTTATAAAATCTCTCTCTTTACAATTTAACGACCCTATATTTTTTTTTATAATTAAATCTAATGGAGTTTCTAGCTCTCGTTTTTATTAAAGTTTTGGGCATCATCATACTTATGTTTTTCTCTGAGTACTGTTCTTTTTCTCATGGGCTAGAAAATACAGCTCATACGAGTATTTGGATAATTAATAATAATAATAATAATAATAATAATAATAATAATAATAATAATAATTTTTTATTGCTTATAAACTTACATAAAGCATCAAGCAAAGTCAGCCCAGAAATTAATTAAAATTACAGTAAGTTAATTTCATTAACTTTCAGTAATAATAAGACAAGTTTGCTTTATCTTTCTAAATTATAAGATAAAAATATACCTAATTGATTAATATAGACAATTACATTACTTTAAGTTAAAACAAATTACATTCGATTACATAACTTACAGTAATAATACAAATTGTTTACTCAATGAATTACATGAATAATAATGCAATTGCTCATAATAAACATTAAGGTAAATTACATTTTAAACTACACAAAGCCTCATTAACGCAACAAATAACATTAACAATAAACTAGTAGATATGATAGTGGCAAATAGCTTACAATTAGAGTAAGCAATTCCCTTATCTTACAGTAGCAGTTTAATTAACTTACAATAACTTCAATACATTAGATGTAGGATTAATGATAATAAATGCAATTAATTGCAATATCTTGACATATAATTACATTATTTACTACATTATTGAAATGTACATTGCGTTATTGGACTGAATGAAGACAGGTACAAAGAGTGGTGAGCTCAAAGAGAGGAAGGTGAATAATTTAATTTTATTAGGAAATATTCATTACAATTCTTACACAAAAATTAAAGTTTTTCTTTTAAAGAACAGTCCTATCCAAATGTTTGCGAGTTGAGTTCCCTTGAAGGAAGAAGCCTTTATTACATTAGTGACATAACCAACAGCTTAAGTTGTTCATCTGAAAAGGTTTTGATCAATTTTTAACGCAATTTTTGTGGTTTTAGAGGATTTTAAGAGGATTTTTGGCAATGTTATTGGTCATCAGCACGCTACTTATAACGTATGCAATGAAATTAAGTATCATCCTGAAATACACCATTTTAAGCAGCAGATCTCAAATAAAACATCTAAACAATCTAAAATCCAAAAATTTGGATAGAAAACAGAACTCCAAACCTCTCTGATTAAACAGAAGAAATATGCAATTGCATAAAATTCAAGTCCTATCATAAATAACAAATCTGATTGATTGTATTATTATTGTTGATAATGATAAAGATGATGCTTATGATAACAGTAACAAACACAAAGCAAAACCAAAAACTAGAACATATTTTTCAATGTTTTCTATTCTGGCAAATTTCAACAGAAAAATGATTTTAATTAATTTTATTGAAGCACATGCAGACTTTGCAAAAAATATTTGGAAGAAAACAGACAATTAACACAAGTGTTTTCTCATTTAATTTGTAAGCAACAAAGATTGAAAGAGTACTTAGTTTAAAAAACTGTCATCCTCACACTTACTAATAAACAAATTATCCACAAAAAACTTTGTAGAATGTAATATATGAATATCTTCTCATTTAATATTATGATTTAGTTCTCTTTTGTGCAATATTCATTTTATATTGGGTTTTATTGAGAAAACAAAAACAAATTCTCCTTTTTTAGGTCCCTCAATAGTTTAACTGAAATGTGGATTTCTGAATACCACAAAAGAGCAGAACATCTTTTCATAAGGACTTTTTTGGGGAGAAAATGAAAAATTGTTTTGAAGAAAATATAATAGTTTTGGTATTTAGCTAATTAATTTTCAGCTTATTTGGATTCAAAAGCTTTTGAATTTTCTCGAAACTTAATCTGAAATATTTATGCCCACAAATACAATTAGTTCTAAAATCATCATAATGTAAATATTAACAAAGATGTGTAATTTTTTGAAAAATCAAGAGTTTTAATCATGTCATGTTGATGTAGCACATTGTACTCTATCCATATAAAACATTTGGAGTAATATTTAAGAAAATATCGTAATTTTTTGTAAAATTGTAATAACTTGACTAAAAATTAAGTACAAATTACTAATATTTTCAAACCGCTATACCTACATTAATAATTAAAAGATTTAATTATTAATGTAGGTACTATTGGAGAATAGATTGCATCCTGAAAGAAATTTGAAGCATCAATAATGAAAGTGTAAGAGATGTTTGAAATACACGTTAAATGTGCATTTTTTGAAAACTCTGAGGTTATAACGAAAACCAGACTTTCACAACAGTGAAATCTCTTTGACAGACCACCTCATTTAAACAATCACTCCTCTCAACAATAGATTGTTCTTGGAATGGACAATGAAACCCATAGTGTAAGTATATCATACTTAACAGACCATTTCTCTCCCAGACCATCAACCATTCCCCCTTAATAGCAATTTTCTTAGGACCAGAGACCTAGTTGAAAAAATCAGGATATTTTTTAATATGGCATATAGGGACAGTTTTTGTACTACTACACAAGAGATATTAATTTAATTTATATGTTCAGTCTGCACTGTATGGTAAATTATGACTACGTCAGGTTTATGATTAAGGATTCTTTTTATCAGCTTCAATATTTCCCGTACAATGTAAGGATAAGACATACCTATTGTTCTTATATCTAGAAACACTTGAGTTTCTTCTAATATCACTTTTTTTCTCCAAAGCAGTTTTATTTTTTGTATATTCCTGTTACAAATATTAAAATTACAATAAACAATAAATAGATGATAGACTAAAAAATCAGGACTTTTGACAACAAATCAGGACAGCCTGGATAAGGTCCAAAAATCACGACCTTATCATGACCTGATTGATAAATTAGAACGTCTGGTAACCCTAAATTTCCTTTATCACTTTCTGAACCATTGTTAGAATTCAGTATACACAATTTTCAGCAGTTCAAGTGAAAAATTATCGACATAAACAGCATTTGCATCATGTTCTTCAACCTTCGACGAAATCAGGGGGTGGATTTTGAGAATCATGTAACAATACACTGTGGGCAATACACAGTTATACACTTAAGGTTGCTCACTTCATTTCAGTTTCATATTTTCTAATATGACAGCGGAGATGAAAGTGACATAACATTTAATTCTCGGAATTAACCGAGCACCTTCCTGGAAGAACATCTGGTATGAAAGAATATCAAATAATATCGGAAGTCAGCATTATCGTTTTATACTCTAACACGTGAGTGTTTGGTTTGCGTCTGGAATTTTAGTCGCTGCTTGATTCACTTATTTATTTATTTAATTTGTAGGAAGAAGTGCAAGAAAAGCTAGTTTGGAGGCTTTTCAGACAAAGTGTCATGCATATCTGAATGACATATTGAATAAAATGGAGGTATGTTATTGAAGACTATTGTGAATTCAAAAACTGAAAATTATTTAAACGTTTACTTTTAATCAAACATTTAAGAAAATGTAAATGTTATAATTCATATAAAAAGATACTAAATAATATTTATATATTATGTATAAAAATGCATTTACATACAAAAAAGTAACACGTTTCATATATCATAATTTGTACACATATACTAAAAGCTTTTGAATAGACCTATGTTCATTAGAATGAAATAGGCACTTTCTAAATCTTTGATATCTAGTAATATTTGACTATTGTTGTCAAATAAATTATTACCTATTACGCAACCGCTGCTCTAGTAGAACACTTTTTTCATTGTATGTTGGGAACTCAATGCTGGTTTCACTGTATTTATCTAAGTTCACTTAGTCTAACTCGTCTAACTGTTTAACTCGAAGGGGAAAAGAGAGTTACTTATTTGAAATTGTCATACAGACTTCAAGTGAACCCCCAAAAATGAATATATCAATCTTTGGAACGGCAGTAACATACCTTACTCCTGACATACCAAATTGTAGAGTTCAAACGTGTGTAATCTGCCCGAGTTATGCGTGACATTCATCATTGTAAAGGCCCCTTCATTTGCCTAAGGGAAGGAAATACATTAACAAAATCTCAACTTAAAATTTTAGACCGAATTCACCATCTGTATAACGTACAGCCAAAAGAAACCAACATCTTAATTGAAAACTCGTTTAAATAATTTAGCTCTGCTGCCAAGGTTTTTTGTTCTTGTATATGTATACATAAAAATTGGGTTTTCTTCCTATTTCAGTCTTTGAATGGAGTGCATTCACATGTTGAGTGACACACATAACGATGGTTCGAGGAAAATGTATGCGGATCGCGGTAGACATATCAGGCAACAGAAATGATTTCTGGACCAGGAAGCACAACCCCGAGATAATTTCTGGCGCGGCTAGAATCGAGCAAGGGAGATGCGTTCGCTGATACCTCAGTGCTCTAATTAACACCCATCTCTGCAAAAAATCACATCCACATCGACCTACCCGATTGCAACGCTGACTTGCTCACTTGCATAACGTACTCGTTAAAAAAACAATATAAATTTACTCTTAAAAATAAATATATATTTCGTTTATTCATGAGCAAGCTTCTATTGTGGTATATTATCGTTATTTTTTTTTTGTGAGAATTTAAATACACGAGAAGTGTTTGACTCCCTTCCCCCTCGGTCATCCCATTGGTCACGAGATTTACTACTGTCCTAGCAGAACATCTACTTAACGAGCAATTTTACAAGACCTCCCAACAAATCATTTGTCATGCTGCGATTCAGTTAACAACAACAAACAATAAAAAAATTACAAGCCATTCGGTTCTGTATACAAATAGTTTAACTCAGATTCTGGCATTTGGGGCTTAAGCAATGGTACTCACTGTGCGAGGCCAGCCACTCGTTGTAGTCGAGGCCTGCGGGCAGGTCGACGAGCACTCGCAGGTCGACGTCGGGCAGCTTGCGCTCCAACACGGCCTCCTCCAGGTACAGCTTGGGGTCATCGGGGCACGGCGTCGACGCCTCCTTGTCTTTCCGGCGCGCCTTCCTGCAACGTACACACAGCGGCGCTTACCACCCGCACGCGCAGCGGGACAATGGCGCGAGGCGCCAGGCGCGCGCGCGCGTTCACTCACGAGGGCCGGAGCTTGAGAAGAAAGTAGGCTCCGCCCTGCCACTTGACGGGCACGTAACGCATGGCCGAGGGCCAGCACGCGTCGCCTGCCCTGCCTTCCCCTGCCCTATCCTGCACTGCCTCGTCGTGTTCTGGCCTGTTTTGTCCACTCTTGCCCCGCGCTGCGACGCGTCGCCCCTCCAGGCCGGCTTCGTGAGCTGCTCGTTCGCCCGCCAGCCAGCCTGCCCGCCCGCAGCTAACTGTACTCCCCCGAGTCGACGGCCTGGCCGCAGCCATTGCTGCCGCCTCCACTGCCAGTAGACGCAACGGCGCATGGCAGCAAGTGCTGCCTCCTCCCGCGCCTCGCTGTTTCTTTGTCACCACTCGTCCCCGCGCGTTACTACCAGGCAACATGCACAGGGATATTCAAACACATGCTCCAGCTCACAAGTGTAGAGGAGGTTCGGAGCTACGTCAAAATGAAACCGTCGTAGATCACAAATAAAAGTTGAAAACGACCATCTACCTCGCTAATATAAATAATATTAAAATAAATGACAAAATTCCCCCATTAAACTTTCACTGTATAAAGCAATTCCGTAAATATAATATAATAGTTAAAGAATGAAAATATCAACCACATAAACAAGCAATGGAAGCGTCAGAAAAAGATAGCTGCAACTACAAAATACTCATAGTCAATAATAATTACTAGCATTTATTCATTTCGACAGCATTACTATGACCAAGAAATTATATATTAAGTATCGGTAAGAGGTGTCAAAGTCGATTATTACATGCTTCCAAATTAGGTCTTCATTAACACACACAAAGAACGAAAACCAGAACATTAACTAGAGCAAAGTTCACGTTTGTCAGAACACTAAGAGTCGAGTAATGCAACAATGCTGTGCACATCAGAAACGGAACGAAAGTTATGGTAGCCATACACGTTACGATATACTTCCGCAAGTTTAGACTTGTACAAGTATATCTTAACGTGTGTTGGAAGATTTTCGCACTAATTTATAAACTTGTACAAGTATAAAGATCGTAGCAAATTTCGATTGTAAAACTTGTGCAATGCTGCGTTTGCGCAGTTTACTTGAACGTCTGTGGCAGCGTGTCGCGTTTCAGTAGTAGACAAGCTGTTTTTGATAAGTGCGTACATCTTGCAGTCGGACTACATGCCAAAAATGACGACTTGTGATGAGATGCATGGAGTTTGAGAGATGTTGGAGGAATTCATTAATATAAATCATAATATATTTCACATTATATTCATAATATATAATTCATTCATAGGTAGTTATACCAGTCTTTGGGTGCAAATTTCAATTCAGTTAATAAATTGATGTGCGAATACTGCTCTCTTTTTCGTAAGCAGTCTTTACACCATATAGAACGATTTCTTTCAAGTCTTTTCAACTTGTTTGTACCAAATATTAATCCAACTATGACCAAAGCGTCATCCATCGCTGCACAATACACCTGGACACTCACTACAGAAATGGTACCGTTCAAGCATACTTGAGCCATCTGTAGTCACTTGGAAAATACTTATGTTTGCGCAAGTATACGTATCTTGGCTATCATTTCGTGTATGGCTACCATTACAAGTAACTAGCAAGGGTAAAATACGATGCAAAGTAGACTCAAGTGACCAAATCTAAAATGATAGCAAAAAGGAGAAGATAAATATTAAAAGATGGGACAACAGCATGTATACAGTGGAAGTTCATCGATTTCCAAACATGGATATTAAATATAAATCAATAAAGAAAAGTCAGTAAAACGGAGGAAAACGTCAGCAAACGTAGGAATGTCTGGAACATCTTATTTCCTTAAGGATTTTTTGGACATAAGCCACAGGTCGTAATATTCATAGCTTTAAAATGACGTTAATTATTTAAGTAATCTAAAAGTGTACGCGTACCCTAGTGGGAACGGCGAGAGAACGCCATTTTAAAGAGTTTCCAGTTACTTGCACTTCATTCCATCAAAAACTTCACTTGCACATCTTTATCACTATTATTCCGGTAGAAATCTATACGACTGAGGTGTGAGGATAAAAGGCATACTCAAAATGTAATCGCGCGATACAAGGAATACACAAATGAACACTTCACCGGCATAAAAAAATGTTAAATCAAATGCAAGAGTAATTAAAAATGCACTTTTCATTCAGCTTTCACGAGCGCAGTTATCGTCTTCGCAACATTTTAATTGCTCTAATTCCCGTGCTCATAAATTAAGATATTCATGTTCAGGTTTGCCGCTTGTTGGTGAACTTACCAACACACGAAGGAAGAGACGGGAGCAGAAAAAAAAATTTGTATTTGCTGAAACAGTATTCTATTATGATATATTACTCTTACTTATTGAAACGATAATACGAACCCCAGTACATTGTTTCGTGAGCAATCAGTTGGTAAACTTGTATTAGAGCCAGCACGATTACATGAATTGAACATACAATTCATGTTAATCAAGCAAATCAAAAATATGTGAATAATGTAGTGGGAAGAACTCAATCATGAGAGGAAATAGAATGCGTCAAATATTTTTTGTAGCTGACACCACAGACAAAAATATCACGATTCGTTTCAACACTGCGCACAACTCAACGATCGAGATTTATTATTAGCAGCTTCACAAGAATAATATTCGTATACTTCATTTCACTTTCACACATTTTCATTTAAAATGGAATTAAATAATTTATTAGTTAACAATATTACTGTTTTATATAAGCCATTCACCAAGAATAAATGATTTTTTAATAATTTGTAATATAAAATAACGATTTTTCTCCCAGGCGTACAATACACAGGACGTTCGTTGAACGTTGATATATCCGATTGTTTAGGAGGAACGTATGCACAACGAATGATTGATTTAGATTTAGATTTATTCAGTCAAAAATAAAAGGTAAAAACTGTATGTGACGTAGGAGGGAAAAGATTAACTGTACACGTTTTCTTCAGTTCCAAAATCCCTTCCATCATTATAACTATAAATAGTTGAAAGGTGAGTAAAAGTTTAACATAAATAAATAAATTTTAAAAATCGTAAGAATAGCAATATTTGAAAAAATTGTCATTTTCGTTTCTGAGTTAGAAAAATCTTATCAGCATTGGTACACGAATTGCAAGTATGATTTTTCTGCATTGCTAACAAAATAGCAACTCGCCCTTACCTCTACTCTTACCATTTCAAGCAAAAGGAGAGTTCAACAAAACGTGCGCATAGTGAAGCTACATTTACGTCCAGAAGCAAAACAAGGGACCATCACAGCATTTGCTCAATGGATCAGGGAAACTGGACAAAAACCTGATCGAGATGGGGGTAATTGAAGCTGGATTACATTATTTGTTACAAACATATTAAGTCTTTTAAAAAAATATACAATACAAATGTAAACTAATTCATTATATATCACTGTTTTGTTAAAATAGACATTATTTTTCTTTTTGATAACCAGTATAGTCTCTAATTGTATAGAAACCGTTATGCAGCAAGAAATATTTTACTTTTAAATTAAATTTGTGAACCGACTTTAGTTGTTTAATGTCATCTGGCAGAGCGTTGTAAATTAGTCACTTTTGACAAATATTACAGATTCGTACATATATAGGCAAGGCAGTGGTAAGATTCCAAGCTCAATGAAGAGAGGCTTGCAAGGGTAACGCGGATCAGGGTTGCCAGATTGGGCGGAATTCCGCTTTTGGGGCTGGAAAACGGCTCTCTCTCGCGGGACAAAAATTGATTTCGCAAAATACCGCCCAATGGGCGAAAATGCATCAAAACATGTGCGATTTTGGACGGATTCTCAGATTACGACGAAATTTTCAAAAAACTACCACATTGACTGAGTTTGACTTTTTTTACATTATACGAGATTTTTTATTAATTATTTGTTAATTTGAATTTGTTCAAATTTACTTTGAAAAGGGAGTAATGTTAGTTTTTAGATCACTAGTATAAGGTGTGTTCTAAAAGTCATATTCATTTGTCGTGCATAACATGAGCATATATTATATAACATTGGCAGTTCTTGGAGTTAATTTTAGAACACACCATTTAAAATTAGTTGTTTTTTAAAGTACAGTTTAACTGCCAGTACATTCCGTTAAGCCACAGGGAATAAGCATGAAACATACATAAGTAACCATTTCTGTGATAATATTTTTATGCGTGGATATTTAAAAGAAGGAAGGAGTGAAAATGTGAAACGGGGGAAATTATTTTATAACTGACAGTAATTTTACAAAAATATAAATAAAAATTAATTACAAAATTCACAAACTGTTGTTAATAAAACTAATCAAATATTTCATACGGTCACTATCACAAAAAAAATCTAATAGAATTATTTTAATGCAAATTCAAAATGCCTACAAAATTCAAATTGAAATGTTGATTTTTTTTCTTATTGGGCGGTTTTACATCCATCCAACGGCGGATGTTTGTACGAAGCATCTGGCAACTTGACGCGGATGGCATTTTTTCTTTATTCGATTGAGGTGCGACTGCAAGACAGACGCGGAATCATAAAGGAGTCTTGAAGTAGGCTTTTTAACTCAAATAATGAATCAGATTGATTTGATTTTAATCACCAAAATCTCCAGAAACTAATTGGGCGATTGAAAATACTGACTTCTAAATACAAAGTGCGAGGCTTTCAACAAAGGTCACCGTTTCCAAACATTTACTTCGCTATTCAGGACTGGAGTAATCTATCGTTTAATAAATGTGTTAAGAAAGCTCCGCATCCATATTTTCCACATCCTTATAAGAATATAGTAATCAAGCAACCTGCTTCATTCCGACCGTCCGTCACTGTCGGTTAGATCCATACCGGTCCATCAATCGAGACAGACGAGGAGTCATTCAACGCGTCTCGGTCTCCTGGTGAGGAACTGATCATTTACTGGCCACTGACCATCCAGAATATATTAAGAAATGTCTCTAAAAAAAAGTGTGATTTTTAAGCAACCAAGACGAGATTGGGGTAAATTATGGTTTCAACAGAAATGATCATTCGATTCTTCTCGGCAATCAATTGTCACAATTCTAAACCGTGTTAGGCTATTATAAAAGATTTCTAGAAAATCATTGTTTCACAGCTCACGGCATAGTTTCAATGCACCTACGAAAAATCTAATTCAACGCTGTGAATTACAAGACTCTTTTCAGTATTTACATGAATCGTCCCGACTTTATTTTATCAGATTGAC